AAACTGGCTCCAGCTGGATGCCAACTACCTTTGCTTTAGTTCTGGTGGATCCACACACAATGTGCTGATCCAGTTCACCTCTATTTCTCAGTTCTCTGATTATTATTGTAGAACATGATTACATAACACTGATGCTTTCTAGTCAGAGAAAACCTCTTTTCTTTGGTTTTCCATGGGATACCTGGGAGTGAGGATGGGGAAGATGGTGGTGGGTAAGAAAAGTTGTTTTGCTGCAAGCTCATAGGTTGGCGGAAGTTATTTTATCTCTTGGCATAATTCTTATTTTTGAGAGGTTTGAGAGATCTTTTGGATCAGAGAAATTGTCTAGTCCTCCATGCTTGGAATGCTCACCTGCCTCATCTCTGGCTTTTAGAATTTCTGATTTTAAGTGTCAATACAAGTATTTTGTCCTTCAGGAGGCCTTTCCCACTTCCCACAATGGATATAGCCTGCTCTCTTTAGGCTTTCTTCCTTCTGTTGCATGTATATATATCTTTGTGTGCACCAAGATATGCATGTGTTGTCTCTTATGAGAATGTGCGCATCCTCAGAATGGGGATGGTTTTTGCATTTCTTTATATCTCTAGAATTTAGTGCAATGCTTGTTGATGGATGGATAATTGCTTGTGACACAAGTTGCTTCCACTATATACAACATGGCTTCAGTCTGAAATTGCTTTGTTCATGAATTGATATTTCTAAAACTTAAAAAGAGTAGAAAACAGTAGGGTTGGGAATATCTTAAAAAGATGGAGTTCAAATGCAGTATATCAGAAGCTTTATTGTCAGGAGGAACATAGAATAAAGGAGGAACAAGTAATTAAATAACCCTGAATTGGAAAAATAGTATTCAGAATAGACTTGAATGGAAGAAAATCCATTAAAAACAAAAGGAAACTTCTTAGAAAGGGCTGCAGCAAAAGAATGTTTTTTGGAAGAATTTGGAGGGGAAGGAAGATGGGAATATTTTGAATCATATCCACAACTAGGTGGCAAATTAGAATAGAACAAAAAAGGCTTGAGGTAAGTAGGCCCACCAGCAGACACTACTACAATAATCCAGACATGAGCTGATGAGGGCCTACTCTAGAGTGATGGCATTGCCACAGGGGAGAATAGGGGATTATTTGAGAAATGTTACAAAGGTGAAATAGGCCTTGGCAATAGCTTGGATGGTGATAGGGGAGAGTCCAGGATAACTCCTAGGTTGTGAGCCTGAGGAACTGGGAAGATGGTGTTGCCCCCTACAGTAACAGAGAAGGTAACAGGTGGGATTGGTTGAGGGGAAAAGAAAAATGGGTTCTGATTTTAGATAAACTGAGTTTAAGATTTCTACTAGACATGCAGTTTAAAATGTCTGAGAAATATTTAGAAATATGAGACTGGAGGTCAGCAGAGAGCTGAGAGCAGTATAGATAAAATAGAAATAGAAATGGTCATTAAATCCCTGGGATCTGACAAGAACACAAAGTAAAACAGTATAGATGGATAAGAGATTAGGACCCAGGACAGAACCCCGAGAGACATCTGTGATTAGAGGGTGTGATCGGGAGGAGGATCCTGCAAAGAAGACAGAGAAGAAGTACTCAGATAAGGAGGAAAATCAAGAGAGAGTGGTGCCGTAAAAATCTAGAAAGAATAGAGTATCAAGGAGGAGAGAGTGAACAACAATTTCAAAATCTGCAGAGAGATCAAGGAGACTGAGGATTGTAAAAAGACCGTTGTATTTGTCAACTAAGAGATCACTGTCAACTCTGGAGACAGCAGTTTGGTGGAGTAAGGTTGGAAGTCAAATTATAAGGGGTTAAGAAGAGAATGAGAGTCTGTGTAGAAGTGTTTCAGTTTCATGTAATCAAAGCAATCTATTTTATCTTTTGGAATTGCCTCTACTTGTTCAGGAATATATCCCTGACCCATACCTGTGAGAGTGGTTTTGTCTTTAACAGAACTAAAGAAGTATGGTAAAGGGTTTGGTTTTAGGGCAAAAGGTAATATGCTTTGTTTTGGACATGTTGAATTGGAGATTCCTCCAGGATGGTTTTTGTCATGAATATTTGCATCAGTTCACTATATATCTTGCATATCAGATGCTTATCAGAGATATTTAATGCACTGCATGCACAATTTACTGCCTCTTTCCTCATCCTAATTGACTTACTTTTATTAATGCAAAAGTTCTTTTTTGAATTTCACATAATGGGAAAATATCTACTTAATCTTTTATGATAATCTTCATCCCTTGCTTGGTTTAAACATCTTTGGCAAATATACTTCCTTTTGATTGCATGAAATCGAAATCCTTTTTGTGAATAAAATCAATGTATCTAGGATAAGAAGAATCCCCCACTATTATAGTTTTGCTATCTATTTCCATTTGTAATTCATGTAGCTTTTCCTTAAAAAGTTTGGCTCTATAGCATTTGGTGCATATGGATTTAGTAATGATATTACCTCAATATCTATGGTAACTTTCATCATAATGTAGTTTCCCTGTTTATCTCTTTTAATTAAATCTATTTTAACTTTAATTTTGCCAGAGATCATGATTGTTACCTCTGCTTTTTTTGCATCAGCTGAAGCATAATAAATTCTACTCCAGCCCTTCATTTTTTACTCTATATGTAGTTCTCCTTTTAAAATGTGTTTCTTGTAAATAATATATTGTTGGATTCTGACTTTTATTCCATTCTGGAGCTTCTGTTTTATAGATAAGTTCATCCCATTCACATTCAAAGTTATAATTATGAATTGCACATTTCCCTCCATCCACTTTCTCTCACAGTTTAAGCCTTCTTTCCCTCTATTCTTTACCCTATCCCTTCTCATGTCTGATTATTTCTTATCACATCCTCCCTAATTCTCACCCTTTTAAAGAATTCCTCCCTTATCCTCTCCCCTTACTCTCCTATTCCTTAATCTACCTACCATTCTAACAGTCTCTCCCTTATTTTATTCCTTCACTTTCCCATTTCTTTGTAAGTTAGTTACCTTTCTAGATGTATATGTTATTCCCTCTTTAGCCTAGTTCTGATGACAATAAGGTTCTAGCACTACCACTACTAGCACTACCTCCACCCCCTCCTGCCTCCATTGTAATAGTTCTTTCATTCATGCCTCATTTTTATGAGATAATTGCTCCATTTTACCTCTCCCTACCTAATTTTATTTTTTAGGATCATCCCATCATACTCAATCCTAAGCCTTCTGTCTAAGTATGTTTTTTGAAACTACCCAAGTAAAGGTAACATTCTTAAGAATTATAGATAGTTTTCTTATATAAGAAGTGAACAGTTTGACCTTATTAAATCTCTTATAATTGATCATTAATTTTCACCTTCTTATATTTCTCTTGATTCTCATAGGTCAAAATTTCCATCCAGTCCTGGTCTTTTCTGCACAAATACCTGAAAGTCCTTTAATTCTTTAAATACACATTTTTCCATGCAGGATTACACTCAGCTTTGCTGAGTAAATCATTCTTGGTTGCAAACCCATTTCCTTTATTCTTTGGAGTATAATCTTCCATGCCTCTTGATCTTTTAATACAGAAGCTGCTAAATCTTGTGTTATCAAGAGATAATAAATAACAATAGCAATGCTGTTACCGCTAATGCTCTTATTTCCTGCAGACCCTAGTGGCTTCAAGTTTCAGTTCCTTCCTCTGTCCTGGAATCCAAAGCAGGGACTCTACTCTCCTGGGAGTGCTGACCTCAGCCATCAGGGCCCTTACCTTTCTGCAACTGCACTTACTAGTGTATACTTGCTCCTTCTTACTCACAGCCACAGCCTGAGACTGCATCAAGCATCAGTGGATAGCTGTGCAGTCTTCCACTGAGCAGCTGCTACCCCCCACCTCCTTCCCTGTGAGGAAAAGTTCCTGAAGCTGAGGCTTTTGCAGACACAGCTGCCCCTAGGGCTTGTTTGTTGATTCATCAGTACCACTCTGGAAAGTCAGGTCTTCCTAAAAGTCCTCCCAAGTTGTTTTAGGCAGTTTTACTCTGATTTTTAATTATTGCTGCCACTCAAATTTCACTTTGAGGTGTTATTGTAAATTGTTTGTGGGGGAATTTGTGAGAGTCAGGTAATTTCTTGCCTTATTCCATCATCTTCCCAGAATCCTAGAATTATAATTTTTTAAAAAGTGACTTAAATGTTCATATCCTTTGAGCCAGAGATTCCACCACTAATCATTTATCCAAGGATCAGGAAAAATCCTAAATACATGAAAATATTCAAAGTAACACTTTTAATGGTAGCAAACAATTTAAAACAAAATAAGTGATCATTTGGAAATAACTAAATTAATTATGTTGGATAACTATAATAGAATATTATTGTGCTATAAGTAATAACAAATACCCAAAAAATTCAGAGAAGCACAAAGATTTTTACCTAAAGTGATGCAGAATGAAATAACTGAAAAAACAATATACAGAAGGAAAACAAAAATGGAAAGAACAATAAAATCAAACTGAACATTATAATAATCAATGTCTTTATAGAAGAGGTTAAAAAATTTGCTTCTTTTTTTCATTGTAGAAGGGAGATTCTATAGATATGGGATTTTCTCCATATATTATCAGATTTGATGTGTTGTTTAGTTTTATTGATTTTTTTCCCTAAAACAAACAAGCAAACAACTTTGCTTTCCACAATAGTTCACTGGTCATAGGAAGATTGTCAATTATATATGTTTATAAAAGTAATACAAAGACAAGACAAAAAATAAAAATAAATTAAAAAAACTAAATTCATTTCAATGTTGAAAAAAATCTAAATTCATTTCAGTGTTGAAAAAAATATCCAAATGGGATTAACCAATTGAGAAGCTGTGTTTTGATAACATTTATAGCTTCTGGGACCTTGCATTTACTTTATCCATATAACCTTTTATATTAACCTTTAAGAATATCATTCTAAAATACTACTTAACCCATATTAATTAATTTGATTAAATACACTGAGTAATAAGATATTAATTCTTGTTCTCTGTTTCATAGAGATTCGGGTGCAGTCGACACCATTCCTAAAAATATTTGTTGGACATGTGTTCTTGATGGATGTAACAACATCTGCCTATTGGGATGAAACTGACAGTTATGTAGTTGAAATGGAAATTGTAAATAGATATCTCAACAAAGTAAGATAAATTTTCCTAATTTACAGTTAAAAACACATTTAATAGTCTTTCTAAAGCTAGAAAAAGAAAAAAATCAATGCTATTGTGTTATTTTTTCTTTTACTTTACTTTTGAGGAAAATAGGCTAATACTTTTGTAGCATGGTCTACAAATTTGTTTTTGCTTATTACAATCATCTATGAAGGGAGCTGCCACCTCAAATGGAAAGTTTTCTTTTCCTCCTGTTGTTCTTTACTTTCTCCTTTTTGAAACTGCTCCATGGAATAGCTCCAGGGTTTTCTCGATAAAACAACACTCTTAATGGAAGTCAGGGGATGTAAGGACACTAGAGATGGCACTTAGAACAAGTTGGAGGTATTACTGGTGCAAGTAAGAGACATAACATCTGGATTCTGGGCAAATAAGAACTGGGGCAAAATGGAAATAAGAGTTTGTAGATAAATCAAAGCTAGGGAAAAATAGACAGCAGAGTGAGTAATAAATTTAGAGGTCAAATGATGTCAACTAGTTAGAACTTTGTTAGAAATTTAACATGAGAAATGTAATAGGAACACATGTAATAAAATTATACATATGGTTTAAAAATCAATTTTACAAGTATAAATGAGGAAGCTATATATAGTCAGGTAGTTGTTCATCTGAAAATAAGCTAGTTTTTAACACAATATGGGTTAACAATGTCGTATAATGTTTATGTGATTTTAGACTGCTTGAATGAACTGCACCAGTGTATATTGGAAGATGACAGTTATTTCTAAATATTATCATCTCTACCATCAATCATGTCTGACAGCACATGCATCATTATCAATGGTCCAAAAAAATAGCTGTGACATAACTCTCCATTGTGCTTAAAAATTAGAGTACAAAAATAGAGCCATATATTAATTAAATAAAAATTATATACCTAAAAAGCCATTATTATTTTGATTAGAGAAATGATAGAAGATTTTCCATTAAATATAGGGGCAAAGCAATGATGCCCCCATCTCCAATGTAATTTAGTATTGTATTGGAAATGCAAACAATAGCAAAAGATGAGAAAAAAGAAATTGAAGGTGTAAACAGTGTCAAAGACAACACTATCCATGTTTTTAGTTGACAAGATAGTTTATTTTTAAAAGGCCAGTGATTGTATAGAAATAACAAAATTTGGAAAAAATACAATGAGAAATTAATTCAAAATAAGTACAAAATGACTACTATATCTTTCAATCAATCAAAATATCTTAACGCAACCAGTTTTATATAAATGCGGTTATAAAATAAAACCATTCTTTAAACAAATAAATTGTGAACCATATAATTCAAGGAAGAATGTCTGTTGTTCATGACTGAGTTATGCCAATATGAAAAAAAAAGATGTTACCTAAATGGACTTGCAGGCTTGGTGCTATAACAATCAAACCACACAACTTTATAAAATTCTTTTAGAGAAAACTACAGATCTACTACTCTAAAGTAAGCAATGAAAAAGGTAGGAACACTAGTACTTCCAGACCTCAAATTCATAGTGTATCACCAATTCTGAAGAAATAAGATGATTTTAACAATAACAACTCCTACCACTCCTGTATCTATATCTATCTATCTATCTATCTATCTATCTATCTATCTATCTATCTATCTATCTGTCTATCTATGTGGGTTTGCCCCTCAGAGATTACTTAGGTTTCTTAAAAATTTAAAAATAAATTCCTCAAATCACCATTTATGTTGAAGAACTGTTATGATTTATTTAGAAGCCTTAACATTATACAGATATCAAAGATAGCTGTTATTAATTTTTTTAATTTAAATTTGTGACTTCTTTGGTGTAGGGAACTTCCAGCATGGAAAGATATACTTGCATACTCCCACAATAGATTAACAAATGTTCTGAAACTGACCACATAAGAGGATTACCTGGTGCATTGGGAGGTTAAATGAATTAATCTCATTTATGGCCATTGAAAATAAATTTCTACTAAAAAAAGGCACATTTCTTAAACAACTGTTAGATGGGTACGCGATTATTTACAAAATGTGCATACAATTCCTCATTTAAATGAATCCATCATATCAACATCAGCAATGAAATATTATTAAGCCTGCCACTGGGGAAAATGTCAGTAGAGCTTATTATAATGATTGAAAACTTTATCTAATGGCGAACTTTGATACTATTAACTTAAATAATTAATTTTTATTATTAATTAAATTTGCAGATTCCCTCCCAGAAAAGAATGGCTTCATGCATTTATGTTGTATCTTATTCCCAATGAAATTGTCTAAGGCCTTCATATAACTCTTTAAAAATTGAACTTTGCTCTCTTCTTTTGGCTGCTTTAAGTAGACACCAATTATGTGCCTCTCTCCCAGGGTACCACTACAATTTCATTCATAATCTGGCAGGCAACAGCTGATTGCCATACGTCAGCAATTGTCATGACACTGAAGAGCAGCTGTAGTTATTCTAAATTTATGAGGATGTTACCCAAATACAAACTATCCTCAGAAGACTGGGAAAGTGGACAATATAGGGATGAAAATGGTTTCAACATAATCAAAACCTTGCCGGTAAGAATAGTTTGTTTTAGGAGCAATACTTGTCTATTACTAATTTGTACAAAGTCATATACTAGAGGCAGCTTTCTAAAATGCTTAAGATCATTTACAATGGTGTTGTCTCGATGGTCATACCATTCAGAAGAGGTATTAATGAACTGTGTTAAAACATTGGAGCAGTTGAACTTTCTAGATTAGCAAGTTTAAATTGGGAGATTTGGTATTCAAAGCTGAAATTAGTACTTTTGCCATACTGGAATGAATATCACAAAATATGACCTCAAATCACTTTTTCATTCAAATAAAATGAAACAAGAATTAAGTCAAATTCAGTTTAATGGACGGAAAGGCTTCCAGTGAAGGCAGAAGGAGACCTAGGAACAGAATAATTCTGCCATTGTAGAGGCCAATCAAAAGGATCCTTCAGTCCAAGGAAGAGGCTCATGTAGTGTGAAAAGTGACAGACTTTGCTGTTGAGGACCTTACAATCTTGTTACAGGAAAATGACATGTTCACAAAAAATTATAAGAGCAAAAGCACAAAAAGGACAAAATAAGGGTCTAAAGGAAAAAAAAGTTTCTAAAATGTACTACACATTAAATTTTTTTCAGCATTTATTTAACCTTTTATTGTTGACTTGGTTTCATCATTATTAACTTTACTTGTCCATTATTTATTTAATAGACATTTATTACGCACCCACTACCATATCCAGTGCAGGCAATGGGGAGGCTAAAAAAGGATCAATAACTATGGAGACTGTCTAATGGGACCTAGTGCTCAGAGTACGTGCATAGTGCTCTGCCTTCTGACAAACCACTTGGGAATGCCTGGTGAGCATTTTTCTTAGATGTATCTGATGATGTAGAATGAAGGGTTCTGGCTTTCCACTTCATAGCATGGTCAGGTGTTCTGTGACTGTCTCCAGTCCATAAATCAACACAGAATGCCTTCTGAATCCTCTGAAGTGGAGATAACACCAGGTCCCTGCAGAAGCAGGTCGTCGAGTCTCTCTAAGTGGTTTGGTAACAGGCAAATCTGAGGACAGTGCTCCCATTGGCCAGTGACAGACTTATAGGCTATGCTCTTAAGGAAATGACTATAGTCTTTTTTTGTACTTGGTTGTGCTGTAATATAGTAGTGTCCTAAGGGTTTGACCTGGGATGTACATAGCTCCGTGGCCTTATGCTGTGAACCTCTACTTGCTTTGCTTTATCAGTTCTCTTAGTACTATTGCCTCTTGAGCACACATCTGATTTTCTGCTTCTAACCTATTGTTTGCTATGAAGCCAGGCAGTCATATTTGTTAGAAGTATGAATTTAAATAGTTAAAAGCCATGTGTAAGAGGTTCTCCTACCTCTGGCATTTTAGGCTTTGCAGGCCAGAGATTTCAATTTATAGTTCAATTGAATCTCAGGTCCTTATCTCAAGTTCAAGTGTGTGTAGAAAGCTCAGTGGCTGAGTACCAGGAGTCCTATTATACTATAGAGCTTATTATATTATATAGATTTCTTATCTCCAGGCAGATGTGAGTTAGGAATGGCCAAGAGATTAGGGATGGCTATCCATCCCCAAAGTGCAGTTGGGGCAGCTCAATGCAACTGTAATTCCTACTGGTTATTCAGAGTGAGAATACTCACACCCAGTGTAATATAAACAACATTATTGTATAAGTTTATGCTTATTTACCGAGCTCTGTTTGTATAATTATGTTTAATCCCATGCAGAACAACTACAGGCCTCCATCAGAAATAGGAAAAGATATCCCAACCACTAATAACTTTTACAATGCAGATCCTAGCAGACCCAAGTTAAGAAATTACCATCCCCAATCAAAAGTAAGTCATTTCCTATGGTTACTCTAGTGTTTTTGCGAACTCTAGAGCTCAGCACAATCATATACTGAATCTCTGTAACCCCTGCTGAATTTCATGAAATCCATAAAACATTATTGATGATGTTATCCCTTTGATACTTTTATTACTACTATTTTGTTGCAAGAAGATGAACTGAATCACAAATAAAACTTAAGAAGTATACTGGCACCTTTTTGTTATATAACAAATCTGTCTCTACAAAGTCCCTATGTGCTGTTTTCATTTTGTCTAGGGAGAAACTCTAAAGCACATGATGTCATGAAGTCTCCCATTTTGCCCTGTAACTGGCCTTTCACTACTCAGAGCAACACTAAGAGTCTTCAAGCTGATGACTCCTAAAAGTTTTCATTCATGGTCCTTCATGTAAATAAAGTATCTTCAATGTATATTTCTAGGAACATTTGTCCTTCCTTCCTTCTTTCTTTGCCATTTCCATTAGGATTCCAAGGTAATTACTTTGCACCTTTGCATTCAGCAAACTTGAGGACCGCTTGGAATTATGATCCCAGGAAAACCCTATTACTCCAGCACTTCAGAAGTGCTTTTTTTCCCCTTGAGGATCTTTGTGTGTAAATTTCATAGGTAACTTCCTGTTGTGGCCTCAGAGAAGATTGTCTTGAATATATGTATTCTCTTAGGATGAATTCCTCTAGTTTGTTGGTTTGTGTTTATCTGTGGGAAGAGGGGAAAAACCAGTGAGCCAGTAACATCCCAGTATGGAGATCATGATTAAACTGGCTGCTGACTCCAATGAGTATGTGGCTTATGAATCATCTGAATTTTTTCTCTCTTCCCACTTTTATTTGCTTTGTAGAAAACGGGGATATATAAGCAGTGTTTAAACAAGACCTCTAGAGAGGATTGTAATTGTACTACTGAACAGAAGATGTCTCAAAATGTAGCTTTCTCAGACTGCACAGAAAAGGTAAGATATTGTGATAGCCTGAAAACAATTATTTAAATGCTCAATTCATGACATTAAACTGTTCTTAAAAAACAGAAACAAAGTTCACATCATATTTATAGAAAAGTATATTTATTCCCTCCCCCCCACTTTCCCTTCCTTTCTCCATTCAACAAACATGTCTTGAGCCCTTATCTCATGAAAGGCACTGAGATGATATAAAAGATATAAAGAGGGAAACTATGCCTGTTTCATTTTCCTTACTAAAATGTAAGCTATGACAAATCACAGAAGGAAGAAACTATTTCTAAATTGGAGAGGGAATGACCATGTAAGATTTCAAGGAAGAGAGGGCATTTTAGTTGGCTTTGGAAGGACAAGCAAAGGTGGTTATTTTGCTGCCATTTGGTGTTATCTGGCCTCTTCTCTGAAAAGAACCAGATCCTAGATTGTCCCACACTCCCCAGGGAAGCTATGCACTCCACTTCAATCCAGAGGGAGCAATAGCTAAGTGCTAAGCCTTATATGGTCCTCAGGAAATAGGTTGCTTCTCATTTCTACTTCTGGGTGTCTATTTATATTTTTAGCCTAACATGTGTGTTTAATGTGAATTTTCTGAATTAAAATGGCTTTGCGCCTCCTCCTACTGGAAAATTCTCCCTGTTCCATGAATTTGATATATTTCTCTGGGACTTAGTCTTTTAACTACACTATGATAAAGTTACATAATGTTGTAGACAAATAAGCTACACTGTCTACCATATCTGTTTACATTCCTTGCACAGAAGAAAAAAAGAGGAAAAAAATAATATTCAATCAAGCATCTACTATGTGGCTTCTTATCTGTATCTGGTCCTAAAACCAGATCATTTTTCCCTACCCCAAACAGTATTTAGGCATGCTCAAGGTCCAGGAATTTTAGGAAATAGTTCAGATGCCCTAAGCTCCATTGAGCAATCCATACAGGAAAGTTCTAGAATTCAAGGATCTTAGGCTCAGACACAGACATTCCCAGAACAATACATGTCTCCAGTTCAGAGGTCAACAATACTTCCCCAGTGGAAGAATTACCAAATCTTACTAGTGTAGGCAATATCACCTTGGACTCAGCCACCAGTTCCTCTGTAACTCCAGTGGGTACTATCTGGAAGTCACTTATTTCGGGGGACCGGTATTTATTTTTGGCATCTTGTTAGCACAGACCTCTGACTACTTCCTCTCACAAGTGGTTCATTCTTCACAGAATGGGTGGGAGGAGGAAGGGCAGACCCAGACTCAGTTTCTTTTCCAGCTACCATTCAACTCTTTCAACTCTGATCCCAAAAACCACATAGCACATCCCCATATACTATAAGCTCTGCTTCACTTTTGATTCAGGGTGCTATTTGGATATATATAGATATAGTTATAGATATATGGATAAAAATAGATATAGATATAGACAGATAAATATATAGATATCTTTCTATGTATCTATATCTCCAAATAGCACCTTAAACACACATATATGCATACATACACACATATGTACACATATACATACATATATATATGTATATATATATATATATATAAATTATACATACATACACACATATCTATAGATATAGATTTTTAACCAATTCTTGGCTTCATGGCTAGGAATGTGACCTGATATTTGGAACCTCAGAGCTCAGATCTCAGAATGTCATTAAATGTAACCTCTGTTACACATTTAAAAAGAAAAGAAAAAAGATGGGGGAAGAAGACTCTGAAACAGGATACATTTCAAAATTGAGACAAAACAAATTCTAAATTGCTTTAGGGAAGGAAAAAGGAATAAGCATTTATGTAGCACCTATGTGGTAAGCAGTTTACAAATATTTAGGTGGACATAGTATCAGCTGTTTATAGATAGAAATGAACTTAGAGGTGATCCATTGAGATCCCTTCATTTTATAGATGAGGAAGTTTAGACTCATGGAATTGAGAGACTTCCTAGGTTCCATAGGGAGTACATGTCAGTGGCAGGGTTTGAATGCAGGTCATGTGACGCCAAAGCCAGCACTCTTTCCACTGCACTATCAACATAAGCTACCTGAACATCTGTTGAGGTTTCATGGTTTGTTGTGGGGATTGTCTCAAATGAATTCACAGACTCGGACAACCTTCAATCTAAGTGAAGGCATTTATTGAGGGTAATGCTCTCCAGCCTTGGTGGAACCAAAACCCATAATACATAAAAACATACCCTTTTCTAGGGGACATTAATATATGAAAATAATATTTTAATAAGCCTCTGTACATTATAAATTCACCTGAAAGACAGCTTTTGCTATTACTGCGTAGGTGCCTACTTAGGGAAAGTCCCTTCTATTGTTTGGGGTCCACGTCTTGCTTGGGTATCCCAGTGGTGCAGCTTTCTGATTGACTGGCTATTGTGATCCTGTCTAAGATTAGATGGATGTGGCTGTGGTTGAGTGCATGGACACACCTGCTGTTTCTGTGAGAAATAGGAGTTCATGGACATGCCTGTTATTCTGATGAGGCATATATAAGTTAGAATATTGAGCTGAGGGAGCAGTGGCTATGTAGGGGGAAGTGAGCCTGCTGTTCAGGGAGGCCAGTGATTGAGCCTGGGGGAAGTAGTGTGGTTAAAGCCTGATTGTGTGGCTAAATCAGGACGTGCCTGCTGCCCATAAGGAAGTTAGACTATTGGAGCTGGGGGAGCTTTGTTAGGATTCCATCATATCTAGATAATCAAGGAAGAACAAGGGAAACAAGGGATGATATTTCTCTTCAATGGTTTCTTATGACCATTCTCAACTTCTATTCATTTATTTGTTGATTTGTTCATTTATTCTTCCATTCATCTACTCACTTACTGAGTGTAACCACCCAAAGAAGAATAGTGAATGCTATAATAAGTCTTTAAATGATGCCTGTTCCTTAGCATTTTAGAAATGATGGGATTTTCTAGAATATTAGCATAAACTACCTATGCCCCCAGAGAGTTTTGTGTAATACTAATACTAATAATAACAATAATGAATTTATATCATTTTAAGAATTGCAAATTACTTTGCATATGTCATTTCATCTTATCCTTATAACATCCTTGGGAGGATTCTTAGGAGGTGGGTGGATGTTTACTAATGTGGCATAGGAAGGATAGTTATGGTAACGTCTCTCCATACTAGCGATATACTCCTTTCACATAGAGGATTCCTGGGAAGAATGGACTGAAACTTCAACAACTTGTAAGGCCAAAGTATAAACTCACACCTCCAAGTTACTGAAAGTCTTGTCCTCCCTTAGTGATTACATCATTGAGTTCCCCTTAGGTCTTCAAGAGTCATGGAGGGAGTTAAATATTACATTGAACCTGGGAGTGGTTTTGTTATGTTTTGAGGGTCTTAAAGTAGGGGAAACGCAATACACTGGAGAAGAAGAGGGAAATAATTGAATGTAACTTACTATCTCACATAGTTGAGATACACAAAAAGAAAACTATACAAATAAGAAAGAAGGGATGGGTTGAGCTGGTGTCACATGAATCTCAGTTTCATAGGAATTGAGCAAAGTAACATGATCCTCCTCTCCACCCCCATACAAACAGGAAGAGTTTCACGTACAAATACATTAAACTTAATAGGTGGTATTCCAGAGAAAAGATGGGATTAAGAAAAAGGGTAGAGCAGAGTCAAGATGGCAGAAGGAAAAGGAGCATTTTTTGCCCATTTCACTTCACAACAACCTGTAAAATATGTCAGGCTGAATTGTGATCAGGAAAGCCAAGAAAAAGTCACAGTGAGAAATTTTTTCCAGCCCAGGCAGCTTACAAAGACAGAAAGGTCTGGAGATTCTGAGGTGGGGCATAGCTAGTAGTGCAGTAGGGCAGCAGTAGCAGCCACAGTGGGGATGAGGAGCATTCCAGTACTCAGGGATGGAAAGGGAGCCAAAAGAGAGTACTAAGACAAGAATTACTGGGTAGAAAGTTTTTCCAAGGGACCCTTGAACTTGTCCTGGGAGCAGAAACAGGTGCCATATGGTAGCTCTTTCACTCATTACCCCCTTCAGGGTCATAGATTCAGGGCAGAGAGGAGCAGTCAGTCTTGAGCAAGTGGAGTTCTAGCTACATACTGAGTGAGAAACAAGTTCCAGAAAGCTGTGAGGCTCCAGGACCAGACCAGTGATGCAGTTCTAATATTCACCCTAGTACATAAGCCTGCAGTGAAATAAACAGAGCGGAACCAAAAGGGAGACAGAAATTGAGTTGTTCTGAACCTGTAGAACCTCCCAGCAAGTTAGCAGTGACTGAGTCAAGCAGCATTCTACTGAAAATCAATTGCACAACAAAAGCCAACAGACCCAAATTTTAGTTAGGAACTTGCAGAGCTCAGACCAGGAGGGCTCTGGACAATTCTACCTGAATCACAGAACTTTGGAATCAGTGAAAACTTGCAAGCCCACAAATTGAGCTGTGAAAGCAACAGAAGGATACAACCTCTCCCCCCCAGAAGTTCAGGCCAGAAAGCTGCCCAGAAGTGAGCAGAGTTCAACATTAATATAAAATCCAAAGTCTGTCAGTCAATAAACATTTATTAAGCACATACTATGTACCAGGAACTGTGCCAAATGCTGAGGATACAAATATAAAGAAAGAAAAAACAATGTCTACCCTCAAGAAGCTTACAATCTAAAGATGGAAGACAACACAACACACAAAAAGGAGCCAAAAAGTATGTGTAGGAGACTTGGCGAAGGTATCAGATGTGGGGCCATGGTAGAAAAGTCAGAGATGTCCCAAAGCAGTGCAGCTGGGTGAGAATTGCGGTTATTCTGAGCTAAGGACCCTCAAAGGGAGGTTTTATAGCTCATGACTCCATCCTCCAATCAGTGGGACAATAAGTGGTTATGAGGTAAACTCCTAAGGCAGAGGGGATCTTGTAGGAAGATGATGTTTTCCCCCTAGTGAGTTTGCTGGGAGCATGGTCAAAACCTCAGGGCAGTCCTAGAAAGCAAGAAGTAAGCTGCAAGAA